TTTATATCCAGATTATAGTATTTTTAATATTATTTTCAATATTATTTATTTAAATAAAATTACAATTTTAGATGAGAATTGATAATTAAATTTATGAATAAGATAAATAAATTTTAAGCAATAAAAAGAAAAGATATTTATGTATTTTTATATTTATTTGATATTTTTATATTTCAAATTTTATAACTTTGTTAGGGAAAAAATTTTACTATTGGCTATACATTTGAAAACTTAACGTTCTTGTATTACATTTCTATATACATTATTTCTATATTTAAACTATAATAATAAATATGAAACGAAAAACGAATAATGTTATAAAAGAAATATTTTATAATGTTCAATTTAATAAAACTTGTCATCAAAGTAATATTAAAAAATTGACAAAATGTTATGAAGAGGTAAATTTATAGGTTTTAAATCAAACTTTTTAAACAATTCATTATGATATTTATTTATATTATAAACAAAATTTCAATATAATTATTTTGATGTTAAATTGTTAATTATTTTTTTTTATTTTAGAATAATATATCAGATTTTTGGGATTCTTTCATATCTTGCTTTAGAATTCCACTTACTATTCCACAGCGACATTTACGAGTTGAAAATACTTTAGAATTTATTGCTAAATTTGCCGCTAGTTTATATTCATCTACAAATGATGATGAATCTGAACAATCTTTATGTCCTTTTCTCATTAAATTATTTGATTTTGTTTTAACAAATCATTGTGCAAAAAATCCAGGAGTGAGATTTCGTATTTGTCATTTTTTAAATATGTTATTAAACTCTATGGGTGATCAAGCTTTTATAGATGATGTTCTTTGTGATAAAATTACTGTTTCTATGATGGATCGCTTATTGGATAAATCTACAAAAGTTAGAGCTCAAGCAATATTTGCTCTACATAGACTTCAAGATCCTACAGATGACCAATGTCCTGTTATAAAAATGTATATATTTCATGCAACCAAAGATCCAAAAGCTATGGTTCGCAGAGCAGCATTAATGAGTATGGCAAAAAATCAACGTACTTTGCAAGTAGCATTGAGAAGGACTAGAGATGTGGATGAAATTGTTCGTAAAATGGCATATGATTTCATTAGTAAAGTAACAGTAAGATCTTTGACTATCACACAAAGAGATCAGTTGCTAAATGATGGTTTAAAAGATAGATCTGAAATAGTTAAAAATACTGTTCAAAATGTTTTATTACCTGCATGGTTAAGACATTATAATGGTGACTTTATTGGTTTAATAAGAGCTCTTGATGCTGAAATTGGTACAGATGTGTCTGTTTTAGCTTTAGATATTTTATTTAAGTAAGCATTTAATATATATATTATGTATGAAATATATACAATCATANTATATATATATATATATATATATTAATTTATTTTAATATTATATATTAAAATAATATTGATATTAATATCTATATCATATCATATATATATATCAGATATATAACATTAGAATAAAAGTATGTAAATAATTAATTTTTTATATAACATTATATAACATTTAATCTTTTTTTAATTAGGAATACTCCATTAAATACATTAATAGAACAATTACCAATAGATAAGGAAATCAAATTAATTCCAATAAATAAATTGACTAGTGAAACTGTATTATATTGGAAATGCTTAATAAAGCATTTGCAACATGAATCTTTTATTGAAGAATTAGAAGGAATTTTACCAGAGTTATCAATATTTTGCAACTATATTTCTGATTTCCTTACAACAATATCATTAAGAGAAAATGAAATGTGGGTAAATCATATGCAGAAATTTATTCTATTACAATTATTTGAAATATCAACAACATATGATTTATGTGATGAAGTTGGTAGAAAAAAATTGAATGAGTTAATTTGTAATACATTAATGAGCAATAATTGGACAGAAAAATTAATTGAATGCATAGTAACACACCTACAAAAAATTATACCTGATGTGAATAGCAGATTGGATACTTTAGCTAACATAATCAGTGAAATTAGATTACCTTTAAAAGAAACTATAACTACACAAGTTTCAGAAGAACAGCAACATCAAATTAACTTACAAGTAAGTTCATATTCTTCAAAATATTTAAATACATTATACATACAAAATACTAAAAAAAATATATAACAATTATACTATTTAATAAAAGTATTTTTTAGAGAGCAAAGCTTAAGATAAAGATGTTGGAATTGAAAGAAGAAGAATATCAAGCTATACAAGACAAACAATATTTGAAAGCAGATAGCTTAAAAAATGAAATAATCTCATTGACTAAGGAAATAGAAAAATTATCAGAACAAAATCAAGTAACAACTATAGTTAATGAAGAAATGAAGGAAAAAAGTGATTCTAAAACAATGATAAAATGTTTAACCATAATATGTACAATGATGCAATCTGTAACTACAATAACACCAACACTTAGAAGTCTTATGCAAATAGCACTTGACAGTTTAGACGTAAATATCTCTAATTTAAAATATAAATTTCAATTTAATTTTAAATATGTTCATTTAAGAATAATATTTCAGCATCCAGATGATGCAGTACATATATTGGCAATAAAAGCAGTCTCTATTTGTTGTATATTGGATAAAGAATTAGCTAAACAACATATTATGATGTTATTTTTACAATTTTCTTTGGAACAAGAAAATCCAGATATTTGGATTGTTGCTTTGAAAGGAATTTTCGATCTCTTACTGTTGCATGGTCTTGAATATTTTGATATTTCAGAAAAAACAAATGAGATCTCACTTGATAAAACTGAAAAGTCTCGCACTAAATTATTTACAGATACTGATAAAGAAGTTTCTGTAATATCATTAGGCATGTCAGAAGCAGAAAAAGGCAATTACTGTTTTATTAAAATCTTAGCAGGATTATTAGATAATGAAGTATGTATATGTATATATATATATATAATTAATATTCTTATTAATTTTAAAAAAAATAAATATTTTTAAAAACAGAATCAAGGATTAAGGACAATTGCCGCTGAAGGTCTTTGTAAGTTGTTACTTAACCGACGAATCAGTGGTTCAAGTTTATTATCACGATTAATAATTTTATGTTATAATCCTGTAAATGATAATGATTTTTATCTTCGACAATGTTTGACGGGTTTTTTCGATAATTTTATCACACTCGTTGATGCCCAAACATCATTAGAAGAAACATATTTACCAACCTTACAGATCTTATGTAATGCACCAGAGATTAGTCCTTTACATGAAATTGATCCTTATGAAGTATCTAGGTTTATAATAAATTTGACTAGAGTTGGAATTCGTAAATCTGATGCAGAAAATTATTGTGTGCACAATAATCTTGTTTTTAATATGCTCGCAGAAGTGTTAAATCCATCCAGCAAAATTCATTGTGAAGTTCTTCTTAGATCTTTAAGCGATTTGCATTTAGAATTAGATGATACATTGGAAAAAAATTTACAACAAGCCATTAAAAAAGTAACGAAAATGGTAAATATTGCATTTATAATTTACTAATAATGATATTTTAAAGTGTATATAAACTTGTTTGTATTTTTTTTTTTTAGGTAAAACAGGATAAGCGATTATTAAAATATATTGAACTTTTTAAAAAAAAATTAAATACTCCTAATACTTGTAATGTATCAGAGAATGAAGATACTGAAGTTGATGAATGATCAATTATTCAGAATATCTCATTTAACTCTATCACTTTTAATTATTTATGCAAGTACAAAAAAATATTTGAAAAGAAAGTTTCATTATATTTCATATACTAATTATTTCTTATTATATAATCAAAAATATGACAAAATGAGACATAATTAAAGACATTGTAAATATATACAAATTTTTTGACAAAGATTGCGATTATTTTATTTACATTTCATTTTTCTTAAATTCTATTGTTTCAATCACTAACTTTTCAATCATCTATAAAATTTTAATTCAATTATGTCAAAGTTATGATATAATAATTATTGCATGTGTTTTGACTTCACATTTATGATAAATAAAAACATTGGTCATTCCATTAAAAAAAAAAAAAATGTTTGCAAAATCTCGAAAAATATAATCTTGAGATGATTTATATTACTTGATGTAGATCTACATTAATATTTTCTCTGAAGAATAACTTTCTTCTCGGATATCTTTTTTTAATTAATTAAGAGTGATAGAATTAAATGAAACTTGTACATTATATTATTTTATTTTGTTATTCCTCAAGTACAAAAGTGCATTTATATATAAATAATTTATATATATAAATAATGAAAACATTTAAATCGACAATTTTATATATTATATTATATTTTATTAAATATATTATATATTATATTATATTAAATATGCCTATACATTTATTACATCCGTTTTTTAATCAAAGTATAATTTTTGCAAAGAATTTTAATTTCCCGGCATATCATTTTTAAATATTTTATTATTAGATGGTAAACTAAAAAAGTTTGTTTATAGATATTAAACGTAGAAATATAAAATAGATTTATTTACAATGAATTTTTGTGTTATATTTTCGTAATTCATATACAATCTTATCGATTCAGAATAAAATAATAGCGTCATAATCGAGAAATATAAAAAAAACTTATTTAAAAATACTCAAGAGATGGCATTAATTTTCAATTTTTATTCTGTCTTATTCTGGTTTTTATTTGTAATATTTTTGATATTTAAAAAATAATGCTGACAATTTTTATTCTTTTACTATTTTTTCCTATATATATTTTTTATATATATTTTATCTATAATACTATAATAATATAAATGACATTGATTTCATTGAATTTAAGTAAAACTTGTTTATAATATTTAATTATTGCACCATCTTTTGAGAAAATATTAGAATTTTTCACATTACAATACCGACAATAAAATGAATTATTTAAACCGTGACTACGATGTCTCATAAGATGTAAAATCTATATTACATTTTATCTATGCTTTAAAAGAGCTAATCAATCTTCCGAATTTTAACTCTAAAAGTCTATTTTATCATATAATTAATTTTGAAAGTATGGAGAAATTTGAAAAGCCACAGATAATTTGTCATATTGAAAAATCTGTAAATTATTCATTATTTGATGCAAAATGGATTCCGTGTAGTACGAAGTTTGTAGTTATGGGCTCGCGTCCTCGTGGTAGTGGTATTATACAAATTTATGAAGTTTCTAGTGGTGAATTGAATCTTATTAAAGATATTGAAAGATCACAACCAATAAAATGTGGAACTTTTAAAGCATCTAGTTTAAGAGACAGATATTTAGCAACTGGTGATTTCCAGGTATTCGTTTATGATATCTTTCATAAAAAATGTAATATATAAGCAATATATTCCATTATATAATTCCATTCGAAAAAATGAAGTTAAATAAGATTAATAATTCATTATTCCTACATACAGAAAACTTAAAGTTACCTTTATTAGGGTAAATTGAATATCTACAATCTAGAAGATCCCTCAATACCAATTTATACTGTCTGTGCTCACAAAGAAATTATAAACAGTATTGATGGTGTAGCTGGACAGAGTATTGGATGTGGTGCACCAGAAATAGTAACTGGTTCCAGAGATGGAGGAGTTAAAGTCTGGGATCCTAGATTGAAAGGTCGGCCAGTTGCTGTAATGGAACCTAAAGAAGGTGAAACTCGTAGAGATTGCTGGGCAGTTACATTCGGAAATTCATATAATTCTGAAGAAAGAATAGTAGCTGCAGGATATGATAATGGAGATATAAAAATGTTTGATTTAAAAGCAATGGCACTTTTATGGGAAAGTAATCTCAAAAATGGAGTTTGCAGTATTGAATTTGATAGAAAAGATATTCCAATGAATAAGTTAGTAGCTACTACATTAGAATCAAAGTTTTACTTATTTGATTTAAAGACTCAACATCCTAAAAAAGGATTTTCTTATCTAACTGAAAAGGTAAGATTAAAGTATAATATTTATGTAATTTATGTAACTATATTATATATTACATTATATATTATATGTATGTATATAAATAATTATATATATTGTTTTAGGCTCATAATTCAACAGTATGGTTGGTCAGACATTTACCACAAAATCGTGAAATATTTGTAACTTGTGGTGGAGGAGGAAATCTTTGCCTATGGAAATAGTAATTATAAATTTCATATTTATTTTTATCTTTAATTTTTATAGTTTTTTCATTGTTGAATTGTTTTAGTAACTATCCGGAAAAACGAAAAATAGTAGATAAAGATGGTATAAATCAAGGAGTTGTTGGCAATTTGACACTTTTACAAAATATTACAGTTTCATCACAACCTGTTAGTTCTTTAGATTGGAGTCCAGACAAACAAGGATTAGCTGTTTGTACTGCATTTGATCAGTGTTTAAGGGTGATTATCACTACGAAACTTAATACTTTTTAAGAAGATAAATAGAATAAGTTCATTTTAAAATTTAATAAAAAAAAGATATTATTTATTTATTTTCATTATATACATTTATATTATTACATGCTATTTATATTATTGAATGTAAATCTTTCATATTATGTTGAAACAAAAATTCCATTGTAAATAAATATTAATTTAATTTAATTTAAAATGAATTGTTTGCTGACTAAATTATCGACTGTTTGAAATATATTACAAACTTTTATCACGATGGCGACACTTGTTTGCACCTATTGATTTTATCGCAGTCGGCTTAGTATATGTATATTGCGCAATTTTACAATTCGAACGGTCAGATAAAAGCGCATTATATGTTATTGGGCCAATCTATTTAGGATCAAACCCTTATTAAATGGTAGCCATCTTGTAATACAATGTGTTATGCAACATCAAACCGCCATATTGAAGATTGAGACCCACGCCAAATGCACTTATGCCACATTGTTTGAACCAGCCTCTGCCAGTTCGCATTCAGCCGTACAAGGTCAGGAATCCCGCGAGTTTAATTACATAAATTAGCTCTTGGCTGTTCCCCCTTTTGCGACGACGTGTCACCATTATACATTTTTTTTGTCTCTCCCTCTTATATTCACTGAAGCTGCACGCGTTCTAATTGGATCACATATTTAGTCTTGGCTCTGTGTTCTCCAAAATGGCGTCTTTTTATACGAACAGCAATAAAACGAAATTAAATGAATTTTTCTTCATTATCGAATAATTTTTTAATTATTTCATAAATTTATTGGAAATTTTTTATTATTAAGCAAATTAATTTGAATTCTAATTTTTATTTTTATATTATTATTATAAAAGATTTCTATTATAAATTAATCCAAATATAATTATTTTTTGTGTTTTCTAAAAATTTAATAAATAATTAGCCATTATCTTAATTAATAGTTTTTCAATTCCCATAATTTTTATTATATATATGAAAAATGGAAATAAATAGAAATTTCACAAATAGATGATTATTTTTTATATGAAAAAATATTTTTATTATATAGTATAATTAATTTTAAAAATACTTTATTTATATATCTAAGAATCCCAATGGCAGTGATAATATTTAATAAAATATTTATGAACTAAAAAATGTAAAATGATCAACCAATTAGCAAACATTCTTCTTACATAAATATACTATTCTAAATCAAATACACATACAATACATTTTTATGCACGCATATCAATCATTAATATTTTTTCGATCAGTTTAATTATCTTTATCTTATATTCATATATTAAAATAATTTCTCATGAAAAAAGAATATATTTAAAATACATATTTTCTAAGTTATAATTGTTGTAACATAATTATAACAAATGTAACATAGTTAGAACGCTAATTTTTTCATGAGTAAGTACATATGTTGGTCTATCTCGAAACCGTGTAGGTTGTTTGCATCACCCTGTAACCTCATCAGCAATCCTCCAAAGGATACGTAGGCAGATCTGCAACAGAGGAAAAAACAGTAAATGTAAGTCATCACTTAATATGAATCATCAAATTAACAATATGGACATATTTATTTAAAATACTAAATTTTCATCTGATTTTAATTTCCTAATCACCGAGGGAATATTGATGTAATTTCGGGAGAAGGGGGGAATATATATATATTATTTTATGTAATAGATAATTCAAGATAAATTTGAAAAATCATTTAAAATAAAATAGTTAACTAACTTTCAATTTTATATACTAATTTAATAATTACAAAATATTGATTTATCTGTGTTACTCGATGTTTAAAACCTTTTTAATTATGGTCGCGGACCCTACGATCGTCATAATTGCAGTGCCGATAGCGGTCGTATATACAATGTAGCCACACAACCAGCTAACAACACTGCCAACATGCCAATCGCAAAAAAAATTCTTCCAAGGAATCCATCCCTTTCGTCAAGCAATCCCTCCACATGCTGCTCCACGGTGAATTCGATGAATAGAAATACAGCTTCTTTCTGGTGCTAGATTTATAAACTAAACGATATATCTTTAAATATTTACTGATATATCTTTAAATATTTTAATGATTATAACGAAATAAATGATGTAGATAATAATGAGAAGTGATAAAAAAAATACATCAATTGAAAATAATTTTATAATGTAAAACAATGAAAGAAACGTAACGAATCCTAACCTTAACAATATTATTTAGTCATTATTTTATTCATCTTTATGGGTTTAAAATTTTTGAATATATATTTTAATTATTTTAAACAAAGATATTTTTTTATTGAAATAAAATCTTATGTCCATAGAGCAAGATATATTTTTCATTAAGCATTTTCCAATAACAATAAGTTTTATTTTTATGCAGATTTAATTACTATTAGAATAATAAATACTTTTGAATATTTTGAAAAATATATGAAAATGTAATTATTTAAAAACTCTTTTTTCAAAATTACTTGACACTTACAAGAAGTTAATTATACAAGAAAATATAAAAATATAATAGAAATAAAATGATTATTTACTAATACATAATAATAAATAAATTATTTATGTTTTATCTTAAAAAAGTGATATATATCCACAAATGATTCGTAAATATTTAAATAAGCGGAAACATATTTACACATGTTTAGGAAGTTGCGCTACTATCGATTGACCTTGCTCCCAAATTTCTGACCATCCACAGTAAGAGCTGATTATTTTTAACCAAAGTATTCTGAGTTTTGCCCCCACTTATTTGTTCTCTCTCTCTCTCTTCTCGTCACTACTCATTCAATTAAATCTATCTCTATATTAAATTTCTCAGATATTGGCTAACTTACATATTTTCAAAGTGACATTGACAATGGAATATATTTTTCAATAATCATTGACAAATTATTATTTTACAAGTGTTCAATTTTATGTAACAAGATATCAATTTATATCATTTATATTTTATAATATTACATTATTTCAAATTCTTTTTTTTAAAAATATGATATACTAAATGATAATTGTCAAATACATAATATGTATAAATATTAATTGCAATAAAAAAAAATGTTACGTTTCTTTAAATGTTTTACATTTTTAATTTTTAAATACATTTTTAACACCGTGTAACAAACATTAAGAGTACTAATATTAGTAAGTTTAAATATGAATATATAAAAACAAACTATTTTTAAGAAAAATCGTGTAATTTACATAAATATAATAATTATATATATATTTTGTATATATATGTGTTTTTACTGCATTTTGAGACAGCATATGAAATATATTTCACGAATAAGATTCGTTTTTAATTTTGAAAGAAAAAAAAATATGAAAAAAAATTTCTATCAATTCTGGAATAATTAATAAAAATAACATTTTGGGAAACAATGTTTTTGAAAGGTGATGGAATGAAATGAAATGATGAAAAAGATGCAGTACAACATATGATTTTTATTGTCATTATAATTACAATGAGTGATAAAAAACGATGACAATTCATGACAACAATGGAAGTTAGACATTTTAATTTATATAACAACAATATTTAAATTTTTTACAAAATCTTTTACATATTCATATATATTATTCTTTAAATTAGATATTAATGGATAAAATTTGTCTAAGATTTAATTTAAAAAAGATTATAGATAAGAACATATATTGTGAAAATTTAGATCCAAATCGTCATGAATGTCAACTGGCTTCATCTATAATGATGAAACCTTAAGTAGAAAATCCTATATTCATGTTCAGACAAGTTTCTTCTAAAACTTTCCTATAGGTAATAATTTATATATAATGTGAACAATAAATTAAAAACTACGTAAATTACATAAATAAGTTGTAATTACATAAATATAAAAAATATTATTTTTGAACGCGATTGATAATAAAAAATATTTTCAAGTGAAAATACTTTTATGTAATGTAATAATAAAAATGTGCCGGATAAAAGGGCTTGAATGAAACGGGATGAACATATCGTACATATAAATATTATGTTTGTGTTTGAAAACGATGTTCGAGAGATGGATACAAGTAATAATGAAAAAAAAATGAGAATAAAAAAAAACAAGTCGACTGCGAGAAACAACTATCACTGATATTCTCTTATTTATACATCGATTCTTTTATTTAACTGTTCCAAGAATACGAGTTTGTTTACATTACACACAATTATATAAAAAATGAAATACTAAGAAACTATACAACAAAAAAATTTTGTTGATTTTTTGTGAGAAGTTGATGAAATTTTTTTTCCGAGTAAACATGCCGGAAATTTATTGCAACACAAGCGCCACGGCGGTCAAAACAGGTTTCCCATATATCTCATATGTATGTCTGTGTTTGCGTGTAATTCATGGTATTATGTCGCATGGAGTAATTATTATGGAATCTGTACTAACCATGAACTCTCAACAATAGCTATTGTACTATTAATGCAAAAATATTTTTACCATTCAAATTCAGATTGATGGCATGTTTTTGATCTTTTCTATTTTTTTATTTTAAATTTCAATAAAATTTAAGTAAGATTGTCATAAGGTTTAAATTGCACGCTTAAAGATTTTTTTCTTTTTTTATTATAATAAAATTTTTTTCTGAAAGATTTCTATTTATATTTCTATATAGATATATATTTATAATTATGGAATATATGCCTCATAGATAGAATTTCAAAAAATATATAACAATATAATTTCTTTATATTCTGAAATTATTAGATTCATGAAATATAAAATTCCAAACCAAATTATAAATATTCTTTTTGATAGAATAGTTTTTAAATGGAAAACTATATACAAGTTTGCTTGATCTTGTATAAAATAATCATGTAATCATAATGTAATCATTTTTATTCATTTAACCTTACTTGTAATTCTGTCTATAAGAGTCTATAAGATCTTTTATGTATGTGATTTTCCAACACTATTAAAGAAAGTAGCTAAATTATGCATATATTATATATGTATATTTCGTGATTTCTTTAACAAATGTTCTATATTCTAGTTTTAAGTTATAAATTTCACAATCTCATTCTACATTCCAATTTTAACCAGTTGCTACACGCATAGAGACATACAAACACGCTCGCATTCGATGCGTGCACTCTGGCACACGATGTGCGTCGTTAAATCAGGGAATTTCAATTCTGGATTATTACTCGATTGATTTCTATTATTAGAAATATATAACATATCTTCTTTTCTATTTCAATGTATTCTAATTTTTTTTACATTTGAAATACAATTTATAATAATCCAAGTTTTCAATACATTTTTATTTAGCTTAAAAAAAAATGTTTGATTATACAAATAAGTGTATTACAATATATCACCTTGTAGACTGATATATGAATATTTTTTCAATATTAAAATATACTATTTGCTCTAAACAAATCTTATCGTTCAAAAAGATCAACATTATCAGTTAACAAGATGTTATATCAAATTAAAATATTGACACTTTAATGATAGGCGAGAGATAAAAGATTAACAATATCAGTAAAAGTACTATAATATTTTTTAATGATTCATTATGATGTACAAATAACATTTTTCCAAATGTGATTGTAAAAGGTACTTGATCATTAATTTTTTTTTTATTATCTAAATTTTTTGTAAATTCATTCAACAGATAAATTGTATTGTAAAATCGAACTTCAATGTGTAATGTAAAACGTTATGCGATACCGGAACAGAACACGATATACTTTTCAAGTAACCTAATCCCATCGTCTTTCTTCACATATCCAATTGTTTCCTGATCTCGTCTTCGCGAGAATGTGACGTAACGTAATATTGTATCTCGGCAATGTTTTCAATGACACTGCATCGGCGACAAGTGGACTTTTAGCTGGGATGATACAGAAACGAGGATAGAGATGCGAATTTACAAATACACGCAATCTTTACCCTCGTTGTTCATCGCGATACACAATGAAGTTGTCCTACAAAACATTCCCCCCTCCATTCATTTATTGTAAGAATCATCGGTCACGTTACATATCCGAAAGTTTGATATATTTCGTACAATTTCTATTTTTTTTCATACGATAAACATTAAACAATTCGAGAAATTATGATTTAAAAATACAAAAGAATCTTTTTAAGAAATTACATTTTAATAATGATATTTAATCCTTCGAGCCATAAACAATTCAATATTAAGATCAGAAATTCAGCAAGAAAAAGAATACGATATTATGATTTCTCTTCGAGAAGTATTAATATAAAATGTAGAAGGATTAAATATAAAATTATCATTTGCAATTCCCTTTTTAAAAAAAGCAATCCGGTGAAAAGGAATGTTGATTATTTTACGTATATATGTATATATATACATGTAACCGAAATTATTCTTTTCTTTTTTTTAAATTATATATCGCACCGCCGAAAAGCAGCAGCTCGGTGACCGTTACTCTGGTGGCGGTGACAGGAGAGATGTCGTACCAGATAGTGCATTTACAGTATTCAGGGCCCGTGTAAACGCGCATCTGGCACGA